TATATATATATATATGATCACTCTAGTCCAAACTATTCACCTCGTGTACGTCGTCTGTCACTGTGTACTCTCGTTTCATGTCGCCGACTGAATAACGAATGATTCTGCAAGCTTATTTTCAGAGACACACTCACCTTTGGGTCTAACGTTCTAACCAACTTTCACTCGGCGGTCTTCGCTCCAACACTCGCCTGTTTGTTCTCCGATCGATGCTAAATTAATAGCGTGCTTATGCGAGACCCTGAAGGAGTAATGAGTGCCCGTTGTTATTGTTGTTGTTGTCCTACGTCCCACAGACTATCATTATCATTATTATCTGTTTTGATGGGGACCGATCAGGTGGATGGACCAGCCTATAAATGGGCCAGTGAATCGTATTTCCATCGTGTTGCGATGGGATCGAAGGAAACGTGGTATGGGGAGTTGATTGACTACCTGTTTTGGAGACGAAAATTTAGCGACCGGCGGGTCTGAGTAGTTTAAATGCGCACCAGACCAGGAGACAGGCGTGTTGTCTTAGTAACGGGAAGCAAGGGCGCCCATTGTGGTGGTTCCATCGACAAGGTTGAGCGTTATTCTATGCATGCATTCAGCACACTATCTCAACTGTATGCATTTCATTGAGAGTAGACAGATAATAAGCACAAATTTAAAAAGCATTTATTTCGCTCTGCAATAAAACGTCCGTATTCCAGATTGTGTTTGGTCTTTTAGCAACTGGAGAACGTTTATGTCTAACTTATAGATTGATAATGATTACGATATGTTCGCGAGAGCGAGGGGGATGTTTGCCTATTTACAGTATACAATGAGCATATAACCATTTCAGTGTTTTGTTCTCTCGTTCTGTTCACTTCCGGCTGATATGTTTTAAACTTTACGGGGGATAAGGGTGTCGACAAGGAATCAGTGCTACTCCTCCTGCAACGCAGAAAGCACGGATACTGACGCAACTGTATGAAACTCNTGTTTTTATTTAATTCCAAATTGCGGTGTTTAAAATAGGAAAAACGAGCAAGTTAATGTATTCAACTTTCTTCCCTGTTAACCTATTTTTATTTAGGCCATAGCATCAATTGTTTCAAATTTCAAGGAGTCACTCAAACTGTATTGACTTTTGGGGTTGCTCTATGATTAGGAGGAATGCTGAACTACCTGTATTGTCTACAATAAGGGCTTCTTGTCTACTGTTCTCTTACTGGCATTCGATCCACTGGATTG